CAGCCGTGCTCACGTGGTGAAATGGCATCTGCCACGGTGGTGACAGGGGCTGTGAGATCTGTGTCACCTGTGGAAGAACAGAGCTCCTGTAGCTCTCCCAGTTGCCTCTTCCCTGCTGAGGAAATGAGTGTGTGACCCAAAAGCTCAAGTGCTGACAATCCCCTGGGAAGCTGAGACAGGACTTGTCTCAAGTTCGAGGCCAGATCAGGTTACGGAGTAAGACCCTGTCTCAAACCAACCTCTGGCCCTCCAGTCCCTGTCTCCTGGGTGCTAAGGTTACAGACATATGCCACCAAGTCACATTTATGTGGTGCGGGACGTCAAACCCTGGACTTTCACACGAGGCAAGCGCTCAGCCTTCTTTGCTTCAGCTTCGACACAAGAATCTCTTAAGCCAAAGTGACTTTTCTGGAAAGCGAGTCTCTTCCCTCAGACAAGGGGACTGGAGCCTGGCCCATCTCTGTGCTTTCCCACCTTGCAAAGCATGGTCCCAGGTGAGGCCTGTCCTCCTTATACCTGAAGCGGTGGGTTAAAGACCAACGGGGAGTGGGGGGGAAGGGGCTTCCTGCCAGCCAATCGGAAGTAACTGCTTGGGCTCTGGGCTCACATCATCTGCTCCTGCTAAGACAATCATGAACATAAAAGGCTAATTGTATTAATCACCAAGGCACCCATCCCCCGTGCCCCTCCCCTGCGAGAGAATTATGAATTGCCACTGCAGATGGCTCTGCTGATTGAAAGCGGTACTCAGCGGGAAGAAGGGCCAGATCAGATTACACACCATTAATTAAAAACTTCCCCTGACAAATGAGAGACATGGGCTGCACACTGAAGGCCTGCCTAGTGGGCCTCTGTCCTTCCCAGACCTTTTGTCCCCAGCCAGCCCTAGGGACTGTGGCGGTGAGGCCTACTTCTCCAGCTGGAGCGGCTGAGATCTGGAGCGCCGAAGGCCAGCTCTTCCCTCACCAGATGGCCTGTGTCCTAGCAGAGTCTGCAGAGGAGACCGTGACCTTTGCTCACTTATTCCGACTCTTCAGCCATAACCCGATTCCGGTTCCTCATTTCTCGGTAAGACCCTCCCTTGCTCCAGACCCTCTCTGCAGAAGGGCTGCTGAAGGACTGTCCATGAAAATGGTTCCCAGCTCTCCCGAGAGCCACCCCTTTGCTCTTTTTGGTCACTTTGGTGATCTCTGTGACCACCCTGGCCAGCAGCATAACCACCTGTGGGAGGCAGGAAGGCAGTTCCGTTCCACAGGAGCTGGTGTTGGCTCATACCACAGGAGTCTGACACACTCCATAAAGATGGGCTCTGAAGGCTAACAAGTTTGTGATAGGATCTGGGGGAAGATCTGGTGTGGTCTGGCCTGCTGCACAGAGAAGTTCAAAATAGTTCAAAGATCACGAGGCTGTTATCCATTTCCACTCCCAGGCTTCTGGCCAATAGCAGGTTATACATCCCTCCTTTTCTTCTTCTTCTTTTTGGTCTTTCAATTTTCAAGACAGGGTTTCTCTGTGTACCCCTGGCTACTCTGGACACCAGGCTGGCCTTGAACTCAGAGGGCTGCCTGCCTCTGCCTCCTCAGTGCTGGGATTAGAGCCACCAGCCAGCTGCATCCACCTCTTTGAAGGAACAGGCCTGTGTGTTTAGCACTCCTGGTTCCCCTGGGGCTTATCTGTGAGCACAGTGACTTTCCTGCTTCACACGGGAAATTCTTGGATTGCCAATGCTGCTTGGTGGGAGAGGGGTGGGCACGCATGCTGGCTACCGCCCTCTTCCCAGCCCTTCAAGGAAGCAGAAGCCTCTTAGCTGCTGTCATTTTGGTTCATTTGGAGCCTCAAGTTCTGAATTTTCCTCTTTCTTGATCAGTTCCTGCCTCCTCTCCCTCCCCAGCCACCCAGCCTCAGTCAGTCAATTCATCAAACCTGTATTGAGCACCCAGGGTGTGCTTGGCTCTGGGGGCACAGACATAATTTGTCAAGAAGCTTAAAAGCCTGCTGCAGAAGCTCCTGCCATGAGCCCCTAGCCCCTGCCTCCTTCTTCCCCGGCTGCAGCATGGCGAGACCCATGGAGCTCTATTTCAGAAAGTTCTTATCTGAAGCTAGCGAGACCTTAGGGCTCTAGGCAATGGATTCCAGTGACCTTTGGCAAGTCAGTCATGTCCTCTGTTCACACACTTGTACACAGATGGACACACACACACACACACACACACACACACACACACACAAGCATGTGCACAATGCTGTCCCTGCTTATAAAAGGGCACGAGAAGCAAGAAGTCTCTCAGCTTGGAGAGGCTCGGCTAGCACTCGGCCTCAGTGATACCACAGAATGCAGGACACAGGTGCTGGGCCACAGCCACCGTGGCCACTGTGGCGGTCACAGGTTGAGTCCATCAGCCTGCTCTTGAAAGACTTGGGCAGCCCCCTCCCTCATCCTGGCCCCCTGGAGGATGTGGAAAGGACTCATCACTCGTCTCTTTTTTTTTAATGGATTTGGCTGCTGCATCTCAGGGTGCCATGGTGATGGATGCCATAGAGATGAGAACTGACTTGAGTTGGCTTATCTCCTCATTCCAGAGTCCCTCCCAGAGCCCCACCCTCACAAAGCTCCCAGGTCAGTAGAGCTCAGAGAGAAGAAGGAAGGGTTCTGGGTAAGCTGACCCAGTGAGAGACAGCAGAACCTGCTTCCGCTCCCTTTCCTCTCAACCCTTTCCCCTCCCCCTCCCATTACCAACAGCAATTGTATTCAAACCCAATAATTACAATGACCGCAACAATCATCATCATTTATTGGAGTCGTTCCACCAGCATTTAACTTCCCAAAGCATTTTCTAACTCATTGTTACCACAGCACCCCCAGTGGGAGGAGTGTGCCCATTTTACATCAGGTAAGACAAAATCCAGACAGGGTCCCCAACACCCCCTTCTCCCCCCCCACCGACCTTCTGTCCTAGGCAGAGTAGTACAGCAGCCTTCAACATTTAGCAAAAACAAATCAACTCCCAGTGCCTTTCAGAGGCGCCGAACATCTACTCTCCATTTTCTGGGCCATCCCTTGGTCTCGTCATCTAACAGGACTTAACAGCTTCTCTGGGACCCAGAACGCTGAGATCAGACTTCAGGGGCTTCCGGCCCAGGAAGTAGGCTGAGCGCAGCAGGTAGAGGCTTCGGGTGACTAGCCTGGGGCAGGGCCATCTGGCCAGCTCTACCTTCCTAACCCTTAGAAGGTTCCTCTGTGTCAGCTTGTCAGGGAGGGACTTTCCTGAGCATTCGGGAGGTAGAATGAAGCCCCTTTGGAAGAGCCATCTCTGTCCTTGGGAACCCCGGTCTGATAGAGCCCCAACCACACCTAGATGAGGGAAACCCTGCGAGATGCTCAGACTGCCCCAGGACCAGTGTTTCCCTCTCCTCATTGGGAAAGTTTGGGGTTCTGAAGTTTCCTTGTCAGAGTCCAAGCACAATGGCTATTTGGGCACCAATTCCCCTTTCCCCAAGACGGGGCTCCAGAGGCCCAGGATGCCCACTGGACTCCTGCTGTGTGTCCGCCTACTTTTACAAAGTGGAAACAGGTCATGAATCTAGAAACAGAACCACGAGAGGGAGAAGAAGGTGCTGTGGGGACGGGGGCTGGGGGAGGGGGCTGGAGGAGTAGGAAGAGGCCAATAGAATACATGTGACACGAAGCAGAAGTGGAGGACCCACAGGGAGGAGGGGAGGAGCTAAACATGTCCCATAGGCAAGGGAGGGGAGCCAAGGAGAAGATGGACAAAAGCAAAGTAAGAATGAAAAGGACCCACGAAGCACATTACTTTGTGTGTAAAAATTCAAACACTGAAAGAAAGAAAAAGGAAAACACCATAAGCCTGGATTCTTTCTGTGTACGGATGCAGAAGCCAGTCATGGTGGAGTGCCTATGTCCCAGCTATCCCACAGGCCAAAGCGGGGAGATTGTGACTATGAGGTCAGCCTGCTCCATGGATCTCAAGAGAGGAAAAAGGAAAAAAAAAAAAAAAAAAAAAAGAGCCAAGTGTTCCATCAGGGATAGAGATTGGTACCCACTGTTAGAACACGTGACCAGGCCTCCTGCTCCCCCCCACACCAGGGACGCCTCATACAAGGCCTGCTGCCCTGGAAGCCTGAGGGGCCAGGAGCTGTGTGTCACACGCACACTTCTGTGTCCTCTGAGTTTGTCTGGGATTCTTTCTTCTGTGGCTCCACACCTACCACTTTCTCCGCCTTTGTGGTGCCCACGAGGATGGCCAGTCGCTGCGATACAGTCTTGGTGTCAGGGAACAGGATGAAGTTGTAGATAAGCGAAGCCAGGACGGCCCCTGTGAGGGGTCCCACCCAGAAGATCTGAGGAGACAGGCTAGGTGTGAGCTCTCAGTAGCACAGGGTGGGTTCAGAACCCTGCCTGTTCCCCGCCCCCAACCTGGCCCCAGGGATTCACAAATGCCTACAGGGCAGGAACCTGGGTGCTGTGAGGAAGGGCGAGGAAACTCCCCTTCCTTGCAGGGGCGCCTGGAGGGTGCGGGCAGAGCCGGGGCTCCAGTCTGCTCACCCACTCCTGCCTCTCCCCTCTCACCTCTCCTGTTTTAGCTGTGACTATTGCTGTTTCTGTCTCTGCCTCTGTGTGGTCTATTTCTGTTTGTCTTTTTCTTTATTCAAGTTTGAAAATTGGTCCAGCTGGAGAAAGTGAAGACGGAAACAGCCGGAACCTGAAGCCTGGGCCAAGGCTGCAGCTCCTGCCCTGGCCCATTTGAGTGCCTGGGTTCTGCAGGATGTTGGAGCTGAGAAGAGCTGGCAGGCACTGGGAGCTCACCTTGGCTTTTTGAAAGTGGGGAAATCTGCCCTCCTGGGTGGCCTGACTAGCCTGGAGGCAGGAACTGGTTTATCTAACTCGCTTGGATTCCTGACGAGAAAACCTAATATCTCTATCCAGTCTGCTAGGTCCCCCACAACCCCAGGCCATCCCCATAACCCCAGGCCATCCCCACAACCCTAGGCTATACCCGTGGCGGTCCTCACCCAGTGGACCGCGAACTTGCCAACAATGACGGCAGGACCAAAGGAGCGAGCTGGGTTCATTGAGCAGCCGGTGAAGTAGATCTGGGGAGGAAGGGGTGGGGGGAGTATGAGGAGGTTTGAAGCAGTCTGGGGAGGACACCCAGCTCTAGCTCAGACACCCCCCTCTCGCCCCGTATTCCAGGGTGCGTCCTCAGTCATGGGGCATGAGGGCCCCGGGGAGAGACACTTCCTGACCTTTGGGGTGCTGCAGCTTCCCCAGGGATGGCACCAGTACAGTGTCCTGGTTTGTCCCTTACCCCAATGAGGTGGCCCAGTGCCACAGACGTCCCAATCATGGCGGCTGGGGACCCCAAGGTCTGCCGACTGTCCATGGAAGCAAAGACACAGAGCACGAGCTGCAGCGTTAGGACCAGCTCCACAGCCACCGCCTGGCCGGTTGACGTGCTGTTGTGAACCTTGGCGGAGAGGGTTACACGGGAGTGACCACGGGCTCCGAGCACGGGACGGCGAGGCTCCTGGGCCTCGTCTCCTCGGGTGTGAAGGGTCAGAAGCTCAGAAGGTCTGTGCAGCCGGCTCATGTCACACGCAGAAGGCTGCTCCCCGTGGAAGCCCCTGCCCCTCCCCACCCCCCTACACAGTGAGGCCTGTGGTTCAGGGCTTGACACCAAGGTAAAGGAATGACAAAGCGTGAGGGTAGAATTCGGGAGGCCCGTGGGAGGGGGTAGAGGCAGGTGGAGCAAAGATGATTGAGGGGAGTGAAGCAGGCCCTAGGACACTGGGAAAATGGCAGGGCAGGCCACGCCAAGTAAAACCGGAGCGCATAGGGCCTCTGCCCCAACCCGGCCCCACTCGGCTATGTCAACCCTTAGCTGCCCGGACCTTCTGATCCCCCCCCACACACACACACAACACACACACGCTTTGTAAAGCCTTTTCCTGTCCCAAGTGTTCATTATACCACGTTTCCACTTCTGCCCGGCCTAGGCAAATGCTGAGGGCCACTCCTCTGGGGCCCTGCGCCTGCGTGGCCTCACGGCTTCCCCCTCTCTGCCACCTCTCCTCCTGTCTGGCCTCCCACCCCGACCCCCTGACTCTCTCAGGTGCCCTGTGGCCTGCCGCATGCCCGAGCCCCTTTGAACCTACCACGTTGACCCCCAGGGTCTCTCGGACACCTCCCGGAGTCACCCCGTAGAGGAGAGCTGCACCGACGGTGGCCCCCGCCAGCTGAGCGGCCACATAGGCCACGGCTCGGGGCAGAGAGATGTAGGAGCCCACGAGGTAGGCCAGGGTGACAGCAGGGTTGGCGTGGGCGCCGCTGGTCTTCCAGGAGATCTGCACGGCCGTGGCCGTGGCCAGGTTGAAGGTGATGGCAATCTGCAGCACAGACGGGAGCGCCACGGGCCAGGGCAGGACGGAGCCCACACCAAAGAACACGTACAGCCCCGTGGCCAGGAACTCGGCAAACAGAGCCTTGCTGATGGCCGTCCAGAGCCTGCCGGCCAGCAGCTTGGCCCTGCTGCACAGCACTGCCTCCATGCCTCCCTCTCCTTCAGGTTGGCACCTTCTCTGCTGTCCTCCCTTTCTGTGGTGGCTCGGTAGCCCAGCTAGGGCGCCCCCAGCACCCTGCTGTCCCGAGAAGCAAGTTGCTCAGACTGGTGGGGAGCCCGCCGATGGGATTATGGGTGTCTGGGGGTGGGAGGGTGCTCACGTGCCTGCTCCAGTTTGGGCTCACCTGACGGGAGGGGCCCAGACCGGTCAGGGGGCAGTGCTGGGCACTGAGCTGGAGCCTCCCGGGACAGCCAAGCACTGTCCACTGAGAGCTGGACACTCGCCAGGTCCCTAACGTCAGCCTAGAGACAGCAAGATCGCTGAGAACCCCAAGCCTGCTTCGGGGCGTTGCGACCTAAAAGCCTGGCCTCAAGAGGTGGAGTGTATTTCGTTCCCCAGCAGCCCAGGTGTAAAAATAAGTTCTTTCCACCTTTCCCACCTAAAAACGTCACTGCCGGGTCTCAGGTGTCAGCCTTCCTGAGGACCTGGCCCTGGCTGTGTGGAAGGGGACGAGAAGCTTGGCCGAATAGTCATTCAAACTGTGCCAGCTGCAGCACGAGGCCCTGAAAAGAAGCCCTGACCTATCCGCCGGTGGGCATTTCCCGAGATTCTTCCTCACTTCCAGCCTCTGGGCCTTCTCTCGCCGCCTTCACAGCCCTGACTCTCCGTCTGCCTACCTCTCGGGACCCCCCCATCCTGTGATTTATTAAATCAGATGGCTTATCTAGCTTTGTGGCTATGTTCGTCCTAAACCCGTGCCTAGACTTTATCCCACTGTCCCCTCGCAACACGAGGAGGCTTTTCTCAAGGGGTGTTCCCTCTGTGAAGCTGTCCAAACAATACCCATGCCCGCCCACCCTGCCTGCCCACGGATGCCCACCATGCCCCCTCTGTCCACAGGCTCCTCAGAGTCTGCCTCAAGCGCAGCCTACCCTCCTCCCACTCCTCTCTTCTCCAGCACCGCCCCTAGGAAGTGCCTTGACTCCTTACCCCAGGAAAGGCATCTAGCCCCGCTGGTTCTGAATCCTGCGGCCATCGGGGCTGCACCGTCCTCCTGCCACCCGCAGCCGTCAGCCAGCCTGTGCCCTCACTTTGCCCTGGTCAGTTCTCCACACTGCAGTCTGAATGACATTTCAAAAATGCACTGCCCGAGCCTCTGCTAGGCTGTGCTCTTTGGAGCTGCAGGCCCGAAGGACAAGGTCCTCTGGGGTCCCTTTCGTCCAGCCTCCCTCGGTGTCCCGGGATGAGCACTCTGCCATCTCCAGACCCTCCTTCCTCTTCTTGGAGAGTCCTCACCGCTCTCTGTGCCTGGGCACCTCCTAACCCAACCCTGAGGACAGCGTCCAGTGTCACCTACTTCTGTCCTGGATACGGAAATCTCTGTGTCGTCACCATAGCCAGGCATTTCCACAGGCGAGTCAGCATGCCATGTCACCATGGCATTAATGTGTCTCCCCTCCAGCTGGTGAGCCCTCGGAGAAGGAATCACATTCTGCTCACCCCACAGCCAGCATCTTTCATGGAGGCGGGCTATGCTAGGTACCCAATAGGGACAGCGGTGGCTGTCCTGGTGGCTGCAGTCTTCGGACCACATGGCTGCCCTCCCGTCCCTCAGGCTCTACCCTCCCTTGTCTCAGTCCCAGTCAAATCCCTTCCCTCCCCCCCCCCACTCTGTTCTTTCAGCTGTCCTGGCTTTCCCTTTCTCTCCTCAAGGAACCTGCTTTCTCACTGGGCACAGCATACTCTTGCCGATGCCCGCCTCTGGTCCCCATCCTTTCCGATGCTCCCCTCTCATTCTCATCCACACCTCGCTGCCTGCTCTGCGTTGCCAGGCTGGTGGGACAGGGTACCATGTGGGCACAGCCATCATGGGATGCCTGTGTCTCGTCGGAGCCTCTCATTCCCACTTCCCCCAGCTCCTTACCTCCATAGTATCAGCCGGATGATGAGGATTGTTGGGAAAGGCCAGCCTGGAGTCAGTTCCAGTCTCTTATATGCTAGACAGCATAGCTTTGACCTGGCCTGGGCTGACCATGCCAGGCCAGGCGTGCCATGCTCCCCCTGGCCTCATCAGGAACCAAAGCCCTGCTAAGTGACCCTTCCGCTGGTCCACTGGCCCAGAAGGTTCTCTCCTTCTTTCTTTGTTTTTTTCAAGACAGGGTTTCTCTGTGTAGCCCTGGCTCTTCTTGAATTTACTCTGTAGACCAGGCTGGCCTTGAACTTTTGCCTTTACCTCCTGAGTGCTGGGATTAAAGGTGTGTGCTGCCACCACCCGGCCACTCTCTCCCATTCTTAGAAATTATTATTATTTTACGTTCTCATTTTATTGTGTGTATGCCTATGTACATGTAACAGCATTCAGAGGACAGCTTTCAGGAGCCCGTTCTTTCCTACCACATAGGTCCTAGGCCTTGAACTCAGGCCATCAGGCTGGGCACAGATGTCTTTCTCACGGAGCTGCCCCCTGTCTATCTCTCCCATTCTTCAGCCCTCCCTGCACTAGCTCCTCGTTCTCTCTGTCTTCCTGGAACTGGGGATCCCCCCATCCTACCCAGAAAGCCAGGCCACCTGCAAGGAGGAATTGCTTCCTCCTGCCTCCCCCTCCCCCATGTCCTGTCCTTTTCACAACATCCAGTGTCCTTTAATGAGCTTCTGAGCCCTCTCCTGGGTGGGCCTGGTAGGATGGGCTTTACCAGCCCCCGTATCTAACCTAGCCTGGCTTGGGACGAGTACCAACAGCAGCAGTGCCTGCTCGGAGAGCTTTGGGTAAGGGAAGAGGAGTGCCTTGGCTGTGCCTACGTGCCCATTGCTCCTCACCAACCTCTTGGCTTCTGGGACCTCAGCACCCTGCCTGTAATCAGCTGTGTCCCCACGTGCCGGGGAGAAGTGACTGCAGACACCTCAGAAGTGTGTCTAGTCAGAAAGGCTGTTAGATGGCACTCACTGGCCTCCGGGACATGGCGGCAGTGGAGATTAGCTGCAGTGAGAAGGGTCTTGACCTCTCTGGCAGGTTGGGACTAAAGCCCGCCTGTGGCCCTGCTCCAGTTTTGGAAGCCAAAGGGCACTGAGTGTGCTGAGGGTTTCATCCCCAAGATCATGGAGAACAGAGCCTCTCTGGCAGGACCCTGCTCAGCCTGGGACAAGGTCTTTCAGGCCCTGAGGGCAGGCAGGCATTGCCCGGTTCCTGTTTTTCCTGCCCCAGCCAGCACGTCCTGGGCCTGGACAGCTTTGAGCTCACTCATGCTCAGAAGTCTTTTGACCCAGGCCCCACAGCTGGATGCCTGCTGCTCTTTCTAGAAGGGTTCTCCACTGAAGCCTTCTCAGCCCTGGGGAGGCAAGGCCAGCAAGACACAACAGCATAACCGGAAGGAAGGGGTTCGAGACACTTTCTGTGCCACCTCCCCCCACCCCCTGACTCCGACGGAACACTGGCAGGCAGCCAGGTCGAGAAGATGGGCTTGTTCACCCTTGACCGGGGAGGGGGACAGGCCTTACGATCAGATCCCCCCCACATCCTTCCTCCTTCCCATCCACCCTGCCCACCACTGTCCGCTTTCAGCTCTACCCTGTCTCCTCCATCACAGCACCTCGTCTCCCCCTCCCCCCCATGGAGACTGGCAGCTTCTGGAGGGAGGAAACAGGTGGCGGAGGGTGGACAGCCTTCAAATGGAGGACCCCGGCTCTTCTCGCATTCCGTCTTCTGGCAGAGGAGTGTGTCAGGGAGCTGACAGGGTGTGTGTGTGCCTGGGTGTGACTTCACAGAGGTGTTCTGGAGAATACGGGGAGCCTGGATCCTTGAAGGTGTGCGGTGGCCGGGGGCGGGGGGTGGGGGCGGCAAGGCCGCGGCTCCACACCTCTGGAATGAGTGCGTCCACGCCGGGAGAGGGGGACACACAGGGGAGATATAACCCCTTTTAGCACAGCTAACAGCCACTGCCAGGGCTGGGAGCCCCAGAGGTGTGCAGGATTAGAGTGTGCGTACATGTATGTGTGCTGGCTTTGGTCTTTGTCAGGCCACGGACCATCACTTGCAGGTCCACAGTGCCCCCTGCTGGCCAAACAGCCCAACCACAGCAACCAGTCCAAAGCTCTTGTGGCGTCCTCACCAGATGCCAGGGAAGATGTCGCCTGCAGGAAGCTGCCGACCTGTATGTAAATCCCTGTGGCTCATGTTCCACCTGTGCTGAAGCTGTGCCCCTCGCAGGGCCCCTGTGCATCCTGTCACACACCCCTTGGGGTCCGTTAGAGAGAGGGGTGTAAATCTGGAAGGAGTGAGGCTGTTCTCTCGTGAATCTCCTCCTGGCCAGTGAGGTGTGTGGGCTACTGAGAGGCTGCTCCCCGTGGCCTCAGGGACCTAAGCCTGAGACACCTTTTGTGCTCTTGATCCCGCCTGGCCAGAGCGCAGTGCCTGACAAGTGGCGACTATGATTTGCTGGGCAAGTCTGCCCCCTGCTGGCCAGAGCTGGCACCAGCGGGACAGGTGTCCTCCTCCCGTCTCTCTGCTTGGTGTTGAGTGGAAGCCTGTGGGTGGGCAGGTAGGCGTGGGTCCAGCAGTCCTCACTGCCCTCCGACCCCCGCTGTTCGGGAGGGGGCCTGGGTGGCCTGGCCCCGGTCTGGGTCTGTAGCTTCTTCCTGTTCTTGTTGCCTGACGCTCTTCTGAGGCAAAGCTGAGGAGCGAGGGAGAGCCTGGCAGCAGCTACAGAGCAGAGCTCCTTGCTCACCTCTCAGAGGTGCTGTCCTTCCTGGCCTCTAACCCTCAGTGGTGATCACATTCTCTCCTCAGGGCAGCCTGTATGGCGGCTAAATACATCCCAACTGAAGGATTCATCACTGCAGTTGCAGCAAGACTCGGACGTGGGGGACGTGGGGCACATGGGGCACGTGGGGCCGGGCGATGGTGGTGCAGCCTTTAGTCTCTCAGCACTTGGGAGGCAGAAGCAGGCAGACCTGAGTTTCGAGGCCAGCCCAATCTACAGAGCACGTTGCAGCACAGCTGGGGCTACACAGAGAACCCTTGTGTCGGAAAACCAGAAAAGTAAAAAAATCATAATAATAAAAATGAAATAAAATAAATTGGATGCCGGTGGCCAGTTTCCACTCTGGACTCCTTAACCATGCCTCTGGGCTGGGTCCTGAGCTGCTCGTGTCTTTACCCTGTTCCTCATGGAGAAGCAGTGGGTACCAGCACTCTCCCCCTCAGCTCATCCGGTTCCTCATTCCCCCGTGAGGAGAAAGGGTGTGACCCATTTTACAGGTTAGCAGTGGAGGCTCAGAAGTTTCCTGAGTGTCGTGGGCGACTGGACAAGCAAAACAAGGACAGGACAGGAGTGATGCGTGTGACCAGGGGGCATCACAAGGGCAGAGGAGAGAAGGCCTGGGAAGGCGGAGCTGGGTGAGCAGATGAACGGCGCGGTACCCTCTCAGCACAGGCTCCCAACACAGCCTGGGAGACCCAGGGAGCCAGCTCCAGGCGAGGACTCTCAGGACTGAACCTGGCCGTCATCCCTTTGGAATCTAAAGGGGCTGGGGCTGGTCCACTCCCCACCCTGCTGGCACACGCAGGCCCTCAAGTGGCAGGGGCTTGACCTCGCTGAGGGGATGGGGGACACGTGACTTGGATCTAGACCTTCTTCTTGGCCCTCAGCCCTCTCCTGGTCCCCTTCTGTTTCTGCATTTGGTCTCCCCCTCACCCCACTGCAGCTCTCTGGTCCTCTCAGCCTCCTCTAGCCTCAGTTTCCCTTTCTTTTCAGAGGACTTGCCTCGTGGCCTTTTTAGTACCCTCTTGTGCACATGTGTGAGGGTGGGCATTACAAAGGGGGTCCCTGATAGGCCACTGTCCCAAGAGGCTTCTGGAGGGAGATGAAGGCAGAATATGAAGTTGGGTGGTTTATTGGGAAACACCCAGTGCAAATACCAGCAGCGCCCCCACCCCCACCCTTCGCCAGAAATAGCTAAGATGGCATCCACTGAACCATCTCTCTGCTGAGGAGCTCTGGGGAATGTCCCCTGCCCACCTGGGGGCTGGCTTTGGCACTTGAGAGGTTAGCTGGGTGAGATAGGCCGCCTCCCTCTGACGTGGCCCCGGGCAGCCTGAGCCGGCGTCCACAGTCTCTGAAGTCTGGCCTGCGGCAGACATTCCGCCTAATCCCAAAGAGGCTCCGGCCTACCCCCGAGTGTCCTCTCACAGGCTTCTGTTCCCATTCCTACTGCAGCACGGGGGTCCGGCGCCTCTTCCGCAGGCGAGAGGACCGTTTTTGTGGAGGTCTGTCTCTCTTCGCCGGCTGCAGTGGTTGAGGCGCTGAGGGCCCGGCCCCTGCCGGAGCCGGTCAGTGCGCTGTCAGCTCTATGGTCTTTTTCCGCTCCTCATGATGATGCTCTTCCCAGTCCTCCTCCGGCTCGTACGTGCCTTTGACGACAGCCACTCGGTCACTGAGGCTCAGGGAGGAGGGGAAGAGCAAGTAGAAATAGAGGATGGCAGCCAGGATGGCCCCAACGATGGGCCCTACCCAGAAGACCTGTGAAGACAGGGTTGGGGTGAGCCCAGGCCCCGGGGAACAAGTCATCCTCCCCAGAACACAGACCCGAGGGCCCGAGAGGAGGCGGACATGAAGGTCTGCAGAGGGAAGAACTTTCTACCGTGAGGAACACTGCCAGCCAGTGCTGAATGACAAGGCCGTGGATCGCAGACACACAGAGCCTCTGAGGAGGAGGCAGAGCCGAGGAGAGACAGCTTCCCAGCCCCACCCGAAAGAGAGGCCAGGGGCACCCTGAGGAGACAGAGCCTCGGACACGCGTTCCGGGGTGCAGAGCCGGGCTGCCGCTCTCTTTGGAGCTCCGAGCCCGGCTGGCGTATGGAGACACTGTCGGAGGACACAGTCCCAGAAGAACACGCTCCCAGCTTCAGAGGACAGAGACACAGATGGACAGATAGAATCCTCACAGAGGACCACAGATCCCCACCGCAGTTCAACAGAGGCCGTGACCCGGCCCACCCGCGTCCAGCTGTGCTCCAGCACCTGCTGCCCTCCCTTCTACAGCCAACCCCCACGTTCTGGGCCCACAACGTCCAGGAAGTCCAGTCACTTCGGGACCTTCAGTCCTGGGCGCTGCGTGTTCCCGGCTTTCATCACACTCACCCAGTGGGAGGGGCTGAACCGGTCCATGACCACCGCGGGGCCGAAAGAGCGGGCTGGGTTCATGGAGCAGCCGGTGAAGTAGATCTGGGTAGATTGGGGGGAGGAGGTCACAGCGAGGAGGGTGCCGTCCCCCCCCACTCCCACAGAACTCTGTCTCTCTCAGGGTCGCACAGTGCAGGGACCAACCGTGTCCCAGCTCCCAGGCTTCGTCCACGCAGCCCAGCTGACCCCCAGGCCTCGCACTCCTAACTGGAACCTCTCAGCCTTGGCTTGGGCTGGAGTCTCTGTCCTCACCCGCCCTTCCACTTCCTCACATGGTTTCTCAGTTCACAGAGGGTGTGTGTGTGTGTGTGTGTGTGTGTGTGTGTGTGTGTGTGTGTGTAAAGCTACAGCCTAGATGCCCCAAGACCAGGCCTTAAACTCTGCTGGGTCTCACCCATCTGGAGGAGACGGTGTTTCAGGGCTCCACTATTCATCTCCATGGCACCCTAGCTTTGATCAGCACTACTCACCCCCACAAGGTGGCCCAGGGTGACGGACAGGCCAATGGACAAGGCTGGGGAGCCCACCGGGCTGGTGCGCCGCGAGTCGGTGGAGGAGAAGATGCAGAGCGCCAGCTGGAAGGTCAGAATGAGCTCCACCACCACGGCCTTGCCCGGCGTCGTGCTGTTACTGAGCTGCAAGGGAGAGCTGGGTTAGGACCCCGACCTTCAGGCGCTGTGACAGGGCCAGCCAAGAGAGGCTCTGGTTTTCAAGGACACCCAGAGCCTAAGCTCTCGCAAGCCAAGCCTCGAGCACAAGCCAGACAGGCCCTTCATTGGGGAATCTGTCCTTCGGTGTGTACAAGCCTGAAGCCCAGGCCCGTCGCCAGAGGCTAGGGTGTCAGCGAGTTTTCCTGGGCACCATCGTGTCAGCGGCTCTGCCCAATCCCCAGCCCCCATGAGCTGGCATTTACCCTCCCTCCTGTGGGCAGCTGCCCAGTTTGCCTACTGCAAACAGCCCCTGGCCTCCTATCCGCGCCTGACCACTGCTGGTGCCAACCCCAAACCCGTCTCTCCGGTGTGGCTGACTCACGGCTTGACAATGGCCGAGAAAATCCTCCTCTGTGTTTGATTAATGAACCCAGTTCACATGGGACAGGGGGCTGAATCTAGGGCTGCAAAAATGGGGAGACAGCAGGGGGCAGGAGCAGGGGTTATGAAAAGGGGGGGAGCCGGTATGGGGCCGGGGTCTTGTCACATCATGGCTTCTAGGTGTAACCCATGACCTTTGCTGTGCTATGACCACCTCCGTGGACTGGCGAGTAAATTGGAAGCCAGGGATGTCAAGGTTATCCTAGACCGTGGTCCCCAGCCACTGCCGTCTGACCCGTCCATTACAGCTACAGCACCCAGGGGCTGACAAGCTCCCATAGGGGAGACTGCGCACTAAAGGGATGTTGCGGCAGCCACGGGGAGCGACAGGCCGAGCAGTGTGAGAGGAGGGGGCGGATTGGGAAGAGAAGCTGCGACCCGGGGGCACAGGTCGCCCCCCCCACCAAAGTCTTGCACCAGCTTTTTGGGCTGTAGCCATTCTCAAGACGGAGGAGCACGGAGGGTCTGGTCTGAGACGTCCCCAGGGTCCTGCCCACCCTTCCACGGGGTGGCGGACACTCACCGCGTTGACGGCCAGGTTGCCCCGGGCATTGGTCGGTGCCAGCCAGTACAGGATGCCCGCCCCGGCTATGGCACCCACCAGCTGCGCCGCCACGTAGAAGAGCGCTCGCAGCAGCGAGATCTGGTTGCCCACTAAGAGGGCCAGAGTGATGGCCGGGTTGATGTGCCCGCCGCTCACGGGTCCCAGGGCCTGGGCCAGGGTGCCTATGGCCAGGCCGAAGGCAATGGAAATCTGCAGGATGGAGGGCAGCGCCGAAGGCCACTTGAGGGCCGAGCCCAGGCCAAAGAAGACGAAGATGAGGGTGGCCAGGAACTCGGCGAACACAGCCTTGAGGAAGGCGACGGAGCACACCTCCTTCTTCATGGTGGCCTTGGGGGCCCGGCGGCAGCGGCAGCGTCGCGGGGCGGCCGTCGGGGCGGCGCCGGCGTCGTCGTCTGTCTGTCTGCGGGGCCCCGCGCGCGGTGCGGCGCCCACTCCGTCGCAGGCGGCCTGGCACGGGCCGGGCGGGGGCGCGCTATATAGAGGGCGCGCGGCCCGCGGCGGGCAGAGCGCGGGGGGGCCCGGGGCGGCTCCCGTGCCC